ACACACACACACACACACACACACACACACACACACACACACACACACACACACACACACACACACACACACACACACACACACACACACACACACACACACACACACACACACACACACACACACACACACACACACACACACACACACACACACACACACACACACACACTCTTCAGTGCATAGAAACCTTCAGGCTCACAAGGCGCCGGGGATGCTCTTCTCACAGTTTCTTACATGTCACTCGGTGTTGCTGGTGTATTTTCAAAAGCATTAGAAGGTTGGTGTCAAAACTCATTAGTAACAACTCCCTACTGCTGCTTTTAGATTAATAAGGATGCCAAGAGAAGGAAGAGCTCACACAACCAGAGTTAGCTAAGCTGTGGGTCATACACAGGTCAGCTGCTGCAGCCCAACAGACTCACTGTAGGATGAACTTGTAAACAAACAATGCTTTGGATTGAAACCCATTTGCATGATTACACTGCCGCAGCATGTGAAAATATGCCCACACCGCCAGTTCCTGTTTCCCACTGTCTGACCTGGAATTGTCACCTCAGCGGGGGTAATTTGCACTGTATGCGGAGTGTGGCCCAACATGATTGTCCGTGGCAGTCAGGGGCAGAGAGAGTATTTGGTTTAGGAAGGATAATCCACTCACCCCTAAAGAGGATTGGAGAATCTCACAGGCTTTGATGAGTTGTGAGCTGGTGTTTATTTCACATCACAAGAACAGGGCTGTTTGTGTCACAGCCAGGGCGCTTCGGCACGACCACCGCATCACAGAAAGCATCATGGGTAATTGCTACTGCGCTGGAGAGATTCAGGAGTAAAGTAGTTGTAGGTAGAGGAGGCGAAGGGCGGAGCGGGCGGGATGTTTCGGCGTCCTCGCTCCTTATCTTGCCACAGATCCTGGGTTTTAGAGAGATGATGTGATAACTGAGGCTTTGCTGACCGAGACACGGATACTGCAGTGCTAATGAGCATCCTCTAAGCTCAGTGATTGTCTCCCAGAAAAGGCTGCTGTATAAGAAAAGGAAAGCTTTGCACAAGCACTCAAATTCTCATTATACACAAATGGATGTTTGTTTTTGACATAAAAACAAGAAGAACAGAGGGTATGTTATGTGGACTTGTTTTGCAAGTGTACCACCCTCGATGCACTGCACGTCTCCAGACCTAATTGGCTCGCTTACCTTGCCTCTAAAACTCCAGGACCACCCCGGTGAAGCAGACAAGGGGTTTCTGTCACGCTTCCCTGCCTTTAGACTTAGAGTGCACACACTTTGGCCTTCACATTATATCTCTAGACATTAAAACTCTAAGCAGCTGAGATATGGCTACGCTGTTAAGGCATCTATTGTCCCCTGGAGAAAGGACATTTTAATTAACAGAAGACTAATCCTTTTAATAAACCAGAGGCAGACTAAACAATGGCTGCCGTCTCAAAGACTGTTGTGATGGCCTCTGAGTTGTTGTGACGTCAACAAAATGTCTTTTAGTTGTTCCCTGTGAAAGCACAAGATATATTAGATTTGTTGACAATGTGTGTCTGTCTGAGCTTTACAATCACACTTTTAAAATAAGCCCCTTACGTTTTTACTAAGTCAAATTTAGTGTGAAGTGTCCATTCATTAATTATTGGCCATTTTGCTACGATTTGGGTGGTCTGTAAGATTTATGAAACTGAATGAACCTGTTTTCTGATGTGTTCGTCCATCTTAACTGACTGGCTGTGGTTTTCCATGTTCCACTCCCCATGCTGAAATAGAGGAATGTTGTCTAGCTTTTAGAATTCATATAGCCTTGACCAGAAGTCCTATACTGTGTGGAAACGAAAAGGAATCAAATGTTCAGTCAAGCGTCGACAGTGCTGCTCCATAAGGCTTCGGTAGGAAGTGAAATCTATATATAGAGAAGATATTACATTATTTATTTGGTTTAAGTCATTGTTATTATGTAAGTTAGAGTGTGATGATATATTCAAAGGGCTTTACTTTGACACTATGGTGCTGAATGCTAACAGGCTCACAATGAAAATGCTAATAGGAATTTTAAATGACTCTATATTCATCATTTTAGATAAGCATGTAACTAAGGTCGTATTTGCTAACTAAAATCTATACAACGTTAAAATGAGGCAACTCTTTTGAAGGTCATGAGACCATGCTTTGGACCAATTGAAAGGTGTACTCTGGCATTACATGAATGAGCTAAGAATCACCAAAGTCATACACATTTTTTCAAGAGAACTTCAAAATCGGTAGCAATTTTGACTGCAATTAATCAAATATTGTCAAGATATTTTCTCAAAATCCTAAACATGTAAAAAATGCCATTAGAGGAAATATCCAGCACTAAATACATGTACGTTTGGCTGACAATGATCCAATAAAAAAAAAGTTTAACATTGATTTATTTAATCACACAGCAATTCCCCTGAGATTAAAACTTTTTGTTTTTTAGGGACATCTGACCTTTAGCATGAGTAACACATTTAGTATTTTTGAATCCACAAGGCTTTAATACTTTTTTACATTTGTCTATGTAAACCTGGGCAAGCAGGTATTCTTTTGGAGCCACTTAAAGGTATGTAAGAAGCAGCAGTGTTTTCAAGCTTTAAAGGTGGGGTGTGTAATTTATTTCTGAAACACTTTTTGTCATATTCCATGGAATGCTCTTAACATCCCAATAGCAATGAATATATTAAATGCTTTGACAATAAATACATAAAAAAATTTCATCTGTGGAAGCCGTAGTACTGTAAAAAGCACAACCAATCATTTTAGCCGGCCCGGCTAAAATAACTGGATGGCCTACCTGCCTGTCAGCCTTCCATCTGTACACAAACTTATCTTGTGCCCTCATTGGTCATGTGCGCGTTTGTGTGTGTTGGAGGGGGGGCTCTGTAAGGAAGTCTGAAGGAAGAGGCAGATTTTTTTCGGTTGTGTATTTTCAAATTCTAGCGCACTCGAGCTGGTTTCTCCAAAATGACATACACCACCTTTAATTCCTCTAATTGATAGTGAGTGACATGAGGAAAGCTTCTCACCCCTGAAGGCTGCAGCGCGGCCCCTCCTCTGCTGGAGATTGAAATATTGCTCTATTCAACCACTTCGCTCACTTAAGTGGTATGTTGCTGCACAGACGTGCTCAATCAATTTACTAACTGAGTGAACCAAAACAACTCAGGATGGCACTGCCCACACATAGGTGCACAGTTACACACAGTCCAGTGTATCTATGCGTTATGTCTCAGAGCTCAAAAGGAGATCAATAGGTACTTCAGCTTTGTGTTAGGCTGTATCAAACCGTGAGTCTGACCCGTGGCTACAAGTGAGATAAAGAACCTACTTCTGGATGAAATGATTACCCCTGTGAGATATGGACAGGGTGAATGACCCACTGACAGCTCTGTTATTGAGACAAAATGTTGCTTTTAGCGACGTTGTGCACCAAGGAGCCAATGGCCTCCCTACTCAAATCATGAATGTAGCAAACGAACAGATGCAGTGTGGGAGGCAGGACCCCTTGATGGAGCCAAAATAGCTTAACACCCAAGAGACAACATTACCTGGATTTAACCTTGCTGCTCGTTCTCTGGCTAATTTACATAAACTGGAGGAAGAAAAATAGCTCTGGACTCGGCTATTAGTGCAATTATCCTTCTCTTTTCCAATGTAAATCAAAGGGGGAAAGTGTTTTTTCACCCAATGGCATCACGTAACGAGCACAGGAGTTGTAATTGCACGGTTTGGCCACTAAATAAATTGCCTTCAAAGCCCAACATTTTTCCTCAGGGCTTGGCTGCGATGCTTCACCAGCATGTAATATTGTTTAATAAAAGACTCTGCAGTGATGGCCACCATTTTCCGTTGATTTGACTGAAGCCCTCCTTTTTGGCTGGATATCGTCGATGTAAGGTCCAGTGGTGGCCCGCCCTTCTTACAGCACAGGAGAATGGATGATGCTCCTGTTGTTTTTCTAAGCTACTGTTGCGTGGTGCCTGGGTTTGGTCCAGCTCATTAAAACCCAGTTAATGTTTGTGCTGATGGCTCCGCAGAGACAGCCAGAGACACAAGCCAGTGTTATTCCTGCCTCTGATGAAGCGTCAGCTCAAAGCCTTTATGGCTTACAGATGGAGGAAAATGTTCCAACAGTACAATAACCTACTCTGTAGGGATATCTTTAATTCTCAAACAACTATTCCCAATTTAATATTGTCAATGTGAAAAGCCTTTTATGGTGTCTAGCAAAATATGTGCACATGGGTGTGTATGTGTGTATGAGAGAGAAAGGCTGTAAATGTGTTGTGGTTGTGCTGTTGTTGACAGGGAGGAGACATCTGGAACCTAGGAATCAGATTTTTGAGAGAAACTGCATTCAGACGATATCTGTTTCAAATTCAAATGTTGTGTCAGTTACCCAGCCTCCTTCCTGTCTGCCGGGTGTTTTCTTACATTTCTATTCAATCATCCGTCAGTGATACTCACACTCACTGCAAAAGAGAACATCTTTCCTGAATGTGGTTACAGATACTGTCTCTAAAAAGGTCTTCATTTTTAGAGTAAATATGACATTCTCAGAGAGGTGCTGCATACATTTTAAAGTAAGAGCACAAGAGGATATAGTCAGCCACAACATTTGTACAGGTTGTGTGGTGTGTTAAGAGGTGCTGATAAGCAGTCTTTGTGTGCGGCAGTCACAAAGCAGCAGATAGAGGTCAGCGTGCAGAAAGCCTCAGGCTGGAGGCGATAATGAAATCTGCTCACATTTATCTTGAGAATGTGACCTTTTCATCAGACGCTAACATGAATTTGTTGACTTTCACTCAACGGTTAGAATGTGTTGCTGTTTATTTCTGCATGTTCGACAAGTAGTTCATCACATAATGTTGTCGGATCATCAGTTTAATTATTTCATCAACATATCCAGTATTAATTTCTCCATGCTGACTCTATAATCTGAGTTTGAGGCTGACTTTTGACCCCTGTGTGCAGGTGTAAAGGGGCCTCTCACTATGGGCTCTCAGCAGACAGGAAGCGGCGCTCCCAGGAGGGCGAGTGCACCGACAGCACGTCAGAACTCACCATCGCCACGCTGCCAAATGACGGCCCCACCTCCGCCGCTGTGGCCCTCCTCTCAGACGAGCCTGGTCTGGTCAACCCCGCCTTCGACCCCAGCATGGAGGACAATAGTCAGTCAGGCAGCACAACCAGCCTGGCCGCCCGCAGCAGCAGCAAGAAGAGTGAGTGTGAGTGGGCGGACGGACGTTTGCATGTGGTCATGTTCAGTCCTGCATGACGTTAGCATGTAGTTTCCTGGGAAAGAGAGTTGGAAGGAGTGTGTGTTTATCAGAGTGACAGGTTGAAAATCAATAGACAGTACAGAGCTGTATAGTCCCAGTTCCACAGTCCCACCAGATGCTAGGTTCAAACATACTTTACACCTGCAGACTTGAAATGTATAAACCAGGCTCTCGTTTAACCTCAAATACAGTCTTTGTTCTTTCTAATGGTCTCTGATAGAAATCCTATTAGCCAATTAGCTCTACTGCCTTGTTTTTTTTGCACCAATCCATAAAATCTCTCTTTTTGGAAAACAGTATAGAAACAGAGAGAGCGAGAGAGATGGAGAGAGAAAGTCACTGAGAGGGCAGGTACATTATGCATTCAAGGAGAGATGGAAGGAGAGGTAGGTTAAATATAGCCTCATGCAAGTGTGTGTTAATGCCTCATGACGTGAACAGCCCTCTCCCTCCATTTCTCCCACCTGTGAAACCAGTCATGAGTGTGCCTCTTTGCCTATCCATCCCACCCCCACCCCCCCTAACGTGAGCTTACAGGCAGTGTAGACACCCAATGACGCTGCACCAGCCCTTTTGGCCTGGACGGCTGAGCACCAACGACCACCATAAGCGCCACTACTGCTGAACAAGCTGACAGCTCCAGAAGCGGCTGGTGCTTTTAAAGAATAATGTGGCTGTCAGGAGCTCTTGCATCTCTCAGAGCCCGCAGAGGGAGGGAGAGAGAGAGAGAGAGAGGGAGGGAGGGTGGGTG